CTGCGTTTGATGGTCTGATCTTCTGGTTCAGGGCAGTTGCCCTCTCTCCATCCTGTCCCTCACAACCCTCTTCAAACTTTGTGACTTTCGGAGTACAGCAGTGCTGATTTTTTTTGGAGCATGCTTTTTGTGATTTTGAAAGATTTCTGAGGAGTCTATGGATGTTGGGGTCGGTCCGTTGTGCTTCGGCTAACCATCGGAAAAATGTGAAAGCAATGTGATGCACCACGCGAGTGGACGGCGGTGGTGCGGTGCTATGTTTCTTTTTTTTTTTTTTTTTTCTCTGCATTCAGTAGCGTTAGGTTATTCTTTTCCAGGAGAGAGATCCACGAGTGACGACTGCATCCAGTAGTTGTTGTGTGGTTTCATCACCCGCACTAGTGATGCCTGGGTGTGAGTGGAAGAGGAGAGAAAATGAGGGAGACGAGGGAACGAGGCAAGGGGATGGAGAGAAGGGGAGGAGATGACCTTGGACCGTCGGAACATTGCATTCGCCCATCTCTGTGACGTGGATATCGTGCGGGGAGGGGATTGTATAAGGGCCCGATCTCTCTGGCGGTCTGCAAGGCTGTTCGTCCGGCTTCTCATGTTGAGGGATGTGGCTGCAGTGTACTGGATCGCTTCTGGCAAGCAGAATGGTAGGAGATGGTAGGATGTTGATGGGTGGCTGCTGATGCTGGCGATGATTGGAAGACCTCTTTTTTGGGATGATTGCTGTGGATGCTGGCATGATGGAAAACGTTTTCCTTTTCTTTACGGCTTGTTTTGTCAGCAAACCTGATGCTGGCGGCGAGTGGGGTCAGCTTCCTTTGATCTGTAATCTAATTTGCACGAACCTAGTTGGAAGTATGTTTATAAGGAGGGGTTCAATGCTCACCTCACTCGCTATGACTCCAAGACTGTGCTCAAGAGAAGTTATGACTGTGCACACTTGTGTGTGGTTGTGTGAAGAGAGAGAGAGAGAGAGAGAGAGAGAGAGAGAGAGAGAGAGAGAGAGAATTCTTTGAAGGATAGGGTGTGGATGGTTTTGGGTCAGTTGAGGTGCCGGCAGGGCAGCTCAACAAAATGGGCTGATCCCTGCGAGTATATGGGCGAATGGTAAGAGGAGTCTTTGCTAGGCGAACGGTGCGATATTTGTTGTGGCAAGCTGGGAAGTTGATATGGAAGGTCGAGCGGTGCGATATTTGGAAAGTTGAAGTCGATATGGAAGACCAAATTGTGCGACAAAATTGTGCGACATTCGGAAAGGCGATAGTGTTGTTATAAGCGGGGTTGCGATTTGGTGAAATCTGCTGGGGAATCTTGTGGAGGTGGTTGTGTGTCGGGAGTCTCTTGCTATGCTGCAACATTCGTCGTCGTGGTCAAGACCGTTGTAACTATGTGTGATGGAGAGGAATGGTGGGCAGTGGTTTTGTCATCCATCCACAATGGCGGTACATTGGTGGACAGGTGAAGACGACAATGGTTGGATGGTGTATGGTGGGTGGTAGAGTTCGGGTTGGTTGGTTGGCAGCTGAGGCGGAGGCCTTCTGTTGGGAATCTGCTGCAATCGCAAATGGATGCGTGCAACGAGAAGCGTGGTGCTGGTAGAATTTTGGTTATGGTGGTCACCGACATTGGTTGTCGCTCTCACACGCGGATAGACGAAGACAGATGGTTGTGGGTGGATGATGGTGGTATACTGTTGGTTGGTTGGTTGGTTGGTTGGGAACTGAGCAGATGCCTCCTGTAGTGGAAATCTGCTACAGACGTGAACGGATGTGTTCGAGGAGGAGAAGCGGAGCGTGGAAGGAATGAAGGGAAAGGTGGGACAGAGTTGTTGGCAAAGTGATATGCTTCCATGCCGCAGAAGTTGATTGGTTGAAGAAAATGGTTTGATGGCTGCGAACACATGCAGTGAAGGACATGAGGCGGTTGGTGATCCGTCGACGTGATGACACCGGTCCCGGTTTTTCTTTTTTGTTTTCATCTTTTGAAGTTTTAAAAATATTCTTTCAGAAGCCACCAGGTGCAAGCAAGAACGCGAGCGTCTGGTTATCGTCACGATCTCAGTTGTGTCTGATGAAGTGATGTGTTTTTGATGATGTATCATCCTTTTTGGTTGACGAGTAGAGGGCATGTACGTCTGAAGTCTGAAGTCTGCAAGGGCACCGGTCGACAACGAACATGTGCTTCTTTATATCTTGTTTCATCGTCACGGTTGGGTTCTGGAGAGCGTGTAGGGTAGGGTTTTATGGGCGCTGCAATTCTTTCATTATACTGATGGGCTGAGACCTTCTGCTATTATGCGGTCGGTCGGGTTTATTTTGTTTCAGGCTCGGTGTTCAGCGATGTACTGAATTGGCATTAGAGCTGAAGGTAGACTTTGCGATGTGAAGTAGTGGCATGCAGGATAGACAGCAAGCTGGAGGTGGGCTGCGGTATTTTCAATTGAAAGCCGCGGCGGCTGAGGAAGGTCCAGAAGTGGGGGTAGATTTTTAGGCCCTGCCTGGCATTACCTATGCCTGGTTTGTTGCTTTACGGTCGGTCGGTCTTTCTGGTTTCGCGGTGGGACATGTGAAATCGATCTGGGCAGCACCTCTGCGATGGGTATGTGAAATCAATAGGGGCAGCGGGTCTGTGATGATGGGATATGGTGAAATCAATGTGGGCAGCGCCTCGGGTTGAGTTTGAGCATTTCTGCTTGAACGCCTGATAGTGTAGTGGGTTGATTGATTTCAAGGGCCTCCCGGGCACTGCCTATTGTTTTGCAATTTGGTCGGTTCTTCCCGGTTTTGCAATTTTCTTTATGGTGGGAAATTGGAAAAAAAAAATCCGGGAAAGGCGTCAACGACAAGTTTGAGCAGTTGGATTGAATGCCGCGGCAATGGAGGTGCGGAAAGTGGGTCGATCGATTTTCAGGCCCTGCCTTGCAGTGCCTGTTGGCTGGCAATGGTCCTTTCTGGTTTCATTTTCTTCATCGTTGGAAACGTGAAATCAATCTGGGAAGGACATCAGCCTGCGAGTTTGAGCGAATTCCCTCGATCAATCCGGGAAGGACATCAGCCTGCGAGTTTGAGCGAATTCC